AAACATGACTTTAGCCAACTGGAGCTGTGGCAGTCATGCAAAGAAGATCCAAAGGAACTCCACCCTCCGTGGCATCACCTTGCTTCTGAAAGACACATCTGTTACAGGCCCTGGAAACACTGGCTGCGCTGTGATAGGAAAGATAACTTTCTGTATAGAAAAATCATTAAAAACAAAACAAAAACCCCTGAAGCTCTGCTGGGTTTCATTGACTGTCTTCTCCCATTTCTCATCTGTTTTTAGTTTATTTAGACTATAAGCTTCTCAGAGGAGCACTTCTTTCCTTTTTCTTTGTAAAAATTAATACTGCTTGTTCCTGTTGCTGTTTGAACTATAAGCTGTCTTAGGGAAGGCCGTTATTACTGTTACCTTGTGTATGTTTTTTCACAAATGTTTCTGATGTTGCTGACAGTGTGTGCTTTGCAAAAGTGCCATCCTTAAGTTTTGGTAATTCTGGTTGGTAATTCTTACCAAAGTAATTTGGTAATTTGGGTTGTGATATTCAACAATCTGGGCCTTTGCCTTCCCCGCACCTCCCCACCCCCGCAGTGAACAGGGGGTTTACAAATAGTGTCAGGCAAGTTGATTCTAAAATTCTTGTGTTCAAATTGCATGGCAATTCCTCTGGAGTATGTGGAAATACTGTTTTCATTTTTGAGAAAATATAAACAAAGGGTAATAGCTGATGCCTACCGTCAATTTTCCTTTGTATTTCCAGTAAGTGATATGTATTTAAAATCTCCTTAAATTTGACTAAACATCCATAGAACTGAATATAGTGTTCATTCTTCAGAATAGCAACTCTGTGGAGAATCTGTTGAGCTTTAGCCTTTAAAAAAATGTATTTCCACTGATGTAAATTCCGTCTGTTAATACTCTTAGCCTGTTTTGAGTGACATGTTTCAGTTTGACCTAAGCCCATCACTGGCTGATGGCGACCATTGGAAAAGGTCACTTCTACTTAAAGGGTTTTTGTAAGCTGGCTTGTCTTCTTTTAACTGCGTTGAAATTTATTTCATAGGCTAAATAGATTCCATTATTATAGTTAAATATAATACAGTCCTTGACTGTTAAAGAACAAGGCATGGTACTGTGTTACGCGTGTGTTTTTGTTTTGGTTTTTATTAACTGTCTTTCAAAAACCTGATCAGCTTGACAAGCAATTATATAAAACCAGGAAAGTGTGATCACTGCTCTTTGGATGGTCTGGGAGACTCTGGGGTTAAAGGCTGATATGAGAACTTCTCTTCCAAGCTGACTGGTAATTTGGTAAATATGGTTATGGGGGGAGGGCTATACATTTCTCACCTTTCAGAAGTTCATCTGCAATATCAGAGCCCACTGCAGTTTTATTTTCAGAGGAGCTTCAGAGGAGCTCCCAGATGTGTGATTGTTGTGATGTTGGCACTGACAATGGATGCTCAAAAGCCAAAGTGTGTGAGTTGCTAAGCAGAGGTTTAAGCTGTAGCTTGGAACTTTTATGACTCAAGTCCCTCCTAGACCAGGTGTTTCTTGTTGGAGGAGGTGAGGAAGAATGTTATGTGCAATGGATTACAAAATCCTAGTATTACAGAGTACAGATCTTTCTGCAACAAGTCTTATGGTTGCAAAATCAAAAATTGCTGAGGCTCTGCCTAAGACATATTTTAAGGTCTGTTCACATTAAGTCAAACTAAACTGTATCCTTTTTACTCCTGTTGTAAGACTAATGCAACTCTGGGAATACTTTGTAACTTTTGTTGATGATCCACAGTAATTAATTAAAGCTTTGACTGCCAAACTCTCAACAAAAATAGTGCCAAAAATGCTGCTTTTTTAGTATTCCAAATTTAACTTGCAAGGCATGGAGATAGGCTAATTAAACTGAGTCTGGTAGGTAGTAAGAAACAAAGTACAGTTTCCTTACAGGTAGTTTCTGAATAGAATGGTAACGAGTAAATTCTTTTAAACATAGAAGTTTTTGTACAGAAGCAAAATTTATCAGCTCTTAACCTTTAAAACTGTCACACACACACACACCCCCCCTTGTCCCTCAAATCATTTCAATTCTACAGAAGGTCTGTTAAGAAATATGCTGCTGGTTTCTGTTCCTTTCTCCCGAAATTCTCTTTGTGGGTGAGGCTCTCTGGATTTGAGTGCCATCTTGTGGTGTGTAAAAGGTAATAACCCCCCTTTCATTATTAACCTGTAAGGATTCGATTAGTATAGAGATGTACCAAGTTGTATTTACCATAGAAAAATATTCATTGTATAGTGATCTGCATTTTTTCCATTGTGCTTAGTAGAAGAGATTGGTACTTTGTGCCCAAAATTTTAATCAGCTCATTTTAATTACTTCAGTATGTGGCACATGGAATGAGCCCTGAAAATTTTACAGCTAATATAGACTGTGGTAGCCTGCTAGCTGTGTTAATATACTATACCTGTCTTCTCTCAGGAGACATGACTTCTAATTAACGGTGATGTATAGTGCATTAAAAAAATAATCTGTTGGCAACATACAGGTAAACTTGTTCTGTTTATTTCAAAACTGTTTTAATTTCTTTGCTGTAAGATTAGTGTCCATGGGGAAGCTTAAATCTTCTGATTTAAAGGACAACAGAAAATTTTCAATCATGAATCCAAGCTGTGAATTTTTTTCATTTGAATAAAATTGTGTATAAATTGGTGCCCTGCCATTTCAAATATCAAACCATTATTTGCATTGGAAGTAGATTTTGCATGAGCTGTGCACATTATTTTACCTTGTGTGTACTGGGTGAGTATGGGGCACAGAATATAGAAGTAACACTTTCCAATGAATATTTTCTGCCTCTACAACTCTGAGCCTATTTCTTTACTATAGCAGGGCTAAAGCTAAAAGGAAGAGTTTGAGCTTTTTTAATTGTATAGATTGACCCCCAAAATTATAACAGTATAGCTTATGTGAGTGCACGTGTGTGTACATACATGTACACAAAAGCTCCCAATTGCTTAAAGGATAAATAAAGGAGGTTGCATCAGTAAAAGCAGTTGCAGTTAAAGGTTTGGTACAGAAATGTTCTGGAGTTAACAAGAGCATAGGTATTTTATTTAAGATCTCATTTATGACAAATAAATAAAATTAGCTAACATACCACATATTTAAAAGAAAAATAAAATATTAGAAGAGCTGGGGGAAGGGAAACCTCTTTTGTGTCCCCTAATGGAGGCTGCAAGATTGTAAGCAAGCTGATGTAAATTCGTGGACCATTAGTATCAAATGTTGTTCATACAACTAACAACTCATGCAGACATCTAATCTTTGTTGCTGGTTGAGCCAAAATTCAGTGAGGCAGATTAATGCAGTCTCTGTGCCCGAGCTTAGGAGGACAAAATGAAACCAAAAGACTTACCTATGTTTGATACAGTAAATGAATGTCAACCAGGAACGAGAAACCTGAGAATGAAGAAAAACAAAAAAACCCAACCTGCCCAGACAGACTACTCATTCTAGTTTGTTATGGAAGAAAAACCCCTTCATCTTTGCAATGATCATGCTAAAACCAAATGCATCATACAAAATGGGTATGGCCAGATAATGTTGGTCATTATCTTAATGCTTTTCACTGACAGGCTAACAGTCACCTCATATGCTAGTTTTTGGGTTTTTGTATTTTTTTTTTTAAAAAGGAGATGGTAGCTAGATTAATTACTTAAAAACCTAAAAAACTCAAATTCTTAAATTTTTAATTCTTGATTTAGATCTGCTTGCTTTACACAATATGACTTTCTAATACAGCATAACTTACTCCCAGTTCAAGCACATGCTTAAGGATAGATCTCTTCACTTTTGATAGCAAGTGGATGTCATAACTATTAACTTTAAACATGGTTTAATGGTATCTCTATGAAGATAACAGAAGAGAAGAAGAACCTTTAAGTGCCGCCCTTACCTGGGTACTGCTGACATGTCAGCCTGTGTTTCTTTATTGACACTTTCTGCACCTTCTGCTGGGCAAGTGCCAGCCTGGAACATTGTGTTTTCTCCATGAAAGAGCTGTTGGACTTAGAGGAACAAAACCAAACATAGTTGTCACCTATAAAAATAAGTAGAAAAAGCTTACAGGACTGCAGAATATGAACTACCAGGTGGGGTACTGGCACTTGATTTGTGCTCAGTAGCTATGGAGAAGAGGAAAAAAAGGCTTATCTTTATATTTAATTTGTGAATGCATGTTGTGCAAATGAATTCATTTATCAGAGAATAGTTAGAACCTGTCAAGAAGTCACGAAGACTGAACACTTTTGAAACCAGACAGACATCTGAATTTCATTTCTTGTATGTTGTTTTTATTTTTTGTCAGTATAGAAGAAAAATTAAGTGAGTGCTGTTGACGTACTTGAAGCTGATAGTATCTTCAGATTGTGTTGCTGACGTTCTTTTGTGGGTTTGGTGGGTTTTGTGAAGTTATTCAGAACACGTAGATTGTAACCATATTCAAGTAAAACCTAACAAAAACTCCTGCAAAAAAATGCTTTTAAAATTAGCGATTTTTAACATGAGATATTGGGGAGCTTTTTGCCTTTTTAAAAAATAAATTATGTTAACGTAGTGCTTTCTGCACTGTATTGACAAAATTGCTACTGTTTGAATGGTTCTGGAAAGAAAGAAATTATAAAATATATTGGAGGTTTAAGGATAGATTTGCTTTTATAAGTTGAAGTGAGTAGAAACAGCAAAACACTGTCACCACCTAATTTAGTGTACATGTTAATTGATTCATAAAATCCAGAAATATTGAAATAAGACCATGTAATTGTTCTGTCGTCAAGATATCTCTGTTGTGTGCAATTTCTTTGAACTCTTCTTTAGGACTTTTACTGGGGTACCATTAACTGAGAAAATGGTCTGTTATATATAAAAAGATGAAGGGAGAAGCTTTTTATATTACATCATATAATCAAGATTTATTCCATTGTTGTTTTTCAGTATTAGCATATCACTTATTACTCTTTTTTTTTTTTTTTTTTCTTTACAGATGATACTTTGGGATTGGGATTTGAAGCAATGGTACAAGCCCTATTACCAGGTCAGTATATTGTGAATCTAATTATTCTTTTGTGAAATGTGATTGAGTAAAGAGTTTACTGTAAACTGTCAGATTTCAATTTTTCTGTTGATGTTTTATTTACCTAAGTTGTCCTAGTACATTCTAGCTCTATGCAGCAGATGCTTGGTATTTAGCTGTTCTGACCAAGCTGACACGGATCTACTTTCTGTGGTGTATATGAGAACAGTCTCAAACCTAGCTAAGATGGCAGTGGGGTTTTTTAAATATCCAGTAGCATAAGGTTAGGGAGTGATTCCCCAGCAATGTCACCAAACTCAGGTCTACCAGGTTGTCATGGTTTACGCCAGTCAGCAACTAAGCACCACGCAGCTGTTCACTCACTCTCCCCCCACCCAGTGGGATGGAGGAGAAAATTGGGAAAAGAAGTAAAACTTGTGGGTTGAGATAAGAATGGTTTAATAGAACAGAAAAGAAGAAACTAATAATGATAATGATAACACTAATAAAATGACAACAGCAATAATAAAAGGATTGGACTGTACAAATGATGTGCAGTGCAATTGCGCCCACCGATCGACACCCAGTTAGTCCCTGAGCGGCGATCCCCCGCCCCCACTCCCCCCAGTTTATACACTGGATGTGATGTCACATGGTATGGAATACCCTGTTGGCCAGTTTGAGTCAGCTGCCCTGGCTGTGTCCTGTGCCAACTTCTTGTGCCCCTCCAGCTTTCTCGCTGGCTGGGCATGACAAGCTGAAAAATCCTTGACTTTAGACTAAACACTACTGAGCAACAACTGCAAACATCAGTGTTATCAACATTTTTCACATACTGAACTCAAAACATAGCACTGTACCAGCTACTAGGAAGACAATTAACTCTATCCCAGCTGAAACCAGGACACAGGTTCTCACCTTTTTTCTTGATTGCTTGTTTCTCCCCCTTTCTCTTGTATCAGCAGTGGTATCTAATCAGCTATTGCTGATTAGATGTTCCTGTTCCGAGAATTATGCCGAATAAAAACTGATAACTTTTTTGACAGAATTGTTAGGATTTGGTTCAGTAGAATCAGGGTTAATAAAAGCAATGAGGCTGTGGAAATTGCACCTCTAAAAGGGGCTTATAACAGTTTGGCCACCAAAATTTCTGTTGATGTTATTGGAAGAGATAGAATACTAAGTTTAATTCTGAGACAAAGTAATGAAAAACTGAGACAAAAAAATAGGCACGACGTCTTTATTTTAAATAGAGAAAAATAAACTGAAAGCTAATGTTGAATTCTGAAATATTTTTTATTGTGTGAAAAAAACCAGCAAAAATTGGTGTCTGAACATGTCTATATGTATATATTTTCTTTAAAAAAAAGAAAAATACACAGCATTGATTTTTTTAAAATTTCTTTTTTAAACTTGCAATGGATAAGATGCTTATTTAAAACTTAGAATACTGTGAAACATTTTGACATGTTAATAGTTTGCAACATTTCCATCTATTCTAGAATGCTGGCAGTGGAAATGGAGTTGATCTCTCAGTACTAAATGAGACTCGGAGCATGCTAACAGACCTCCTGACTGACCCATCCCTTCCACCACAAGTGATTTCTTCCCTTCGAAGCATTAATAGTTTGATTGGTGCTTTCTCAGGCACATGCAGGCCAAAGGCTAGTCCGTTCACACCATTTCCTGGTTTCTTCTCCCGTCCTGAAGTAGAGGATCCTGCTGAAAAAGGAGATCGAAAACTGCTCAAGGTCAAATGACTTTAATTTTCATTCATGTGTGTGTTGCAATTTAAAAAAAAATTATCAAGGAAAATTCATCTGGAAAGAATGCTCCTGTATGGATAGTGGCTTCCTTACTGAGTACCTGTGAACTATGTTTAAGGTCAAAAGAGAGCAGCTGTGAAAACATACTGAATGAAATGTAGATATGTACCAAAATGCAAATCGAAGTGGTTGATGGATAGACAGGTAAAAGCACTGGTCTGCACTCTGAACACATGATTCCTTGAAATAAACGCAGGATTAAAAAAACTAAAAGCAAATATAAAATGAAGGTGTTATATTCTCATAATATGGCACAAACAGGGCTGTTCTTAATTCTCCCACATTCTTGATCTAATAATTACTGTCAGTGTGGCTTTTTCATTGACTTTTTTTCCCAAAGAAATTTTCTCTTGTGAAGTTCAAACTAGCCATCAGACAGAAGCAAATCAGCTATGTAAAAGGAAAAAATCTCTTCCTTCTATGCAGCACATCACGTTGTGGGACCAGTGTGTAAATCTACCATCACTTCTCTGATATCTAGGGTAAATAAGTGAAAGCAACAATGTTGTTGTGATATGACATATTAAGGAACATGGTGGAAAAACATTCAAATATAGAAACTCAGCTGCAGTGCACCAGAGCTAATAATTTTAGGGCAGCCCAGTATTGACAGCTTGAGGCTATTTATTGTGGAGGCTGGTCTGGGACGTCCCTGCCCTGCAGTTGCTTCCATATCCAGGCAGTGGGCAGCTTGGCCCAAATAGGTCAATTTGTTGGCTTAGTATTTTGGAGCCAGATAAACTGTCCTGAGCCAGATTCAGCCTGGGAAATGTCTGCTGGGATGTCAAGACAAATGCTTTTGGGGAAGAGCTCAGTGTCTGCAGATTACTCTGTGGAAGATCCTGCAGGATCATTGCAGTATGAAATTCCTTGGAATGTCACATGGATATCTGCAGAAATCAGTTGGGTAGGGATCATGATCATTCAGCGTATGTTTTTCTTTGCACATTTTTTTGAAAACAGCTAAGGATTGGTATACCAATGTGAAAAATATAATTTATGTGAACTTGAAAATGTAACTTAGTCAGAATTGTTTGAAATGAAAAAATATTCATTGCTGAAGACTGGTTATCAAGATTATGTAAGATTGAAAGATTATGGGTTTTTTTCACAGCTATTCTCATTTTCTCCTTCTTAAAAGTAACTCTTCCTTTAAGTTCGGGTTTTTTCTGTGTATTAATTTACCCGGTGGATAAAATAGTGCTTGTCACTATCATTCAATGAATGTTTGACTTTGGTATATGTTTAGGGGTAAACCAAAAGATGTACCACTATGTATGTTACTGTAAGAAAGAAAACGATATATTTTTCTTTCAAAAAACAGGTAAGTCAGCACAAACTCCAGATTATGACACACCAAAGAAAATCATAAGAAAGTATTCAAAATGTGATCTTGCAGATTATATTGAAAGGTTCTCTTCTCTCTTTCCCTGACTTGGAATATGAAAGGTCTCCTCTGTATATCAAACAAGTTGTTTCTTTCCTGAGGATTATGTACATCTTTATTTCTCTTCCCTGACTGGCTTCCAAAGTACTTTCAGTTATAATTTTTTTCACTTCTGATGGGGAACTGCCTGTTCTTTTTGGTAGAAAAACAAAAAACAAACAAAAAAAAACAAGGAAAAGAAAGAAGCTGAAACTGGGCTTCAGACCTTGGGCTAGCAATAACTGGTTATCTAATACGAACTCTTCACTCTGAGTTTCTTGGTAGTCGACAGCTTGGAAAGTGTAAACTGCCCAGTTACTGATCAGTCTCTTTAAATTCCTAAAAAAGAAAAAGGAAATCTTAGACAAAAAACATCTCAGGGCTGCTCTGCAATAGAAAGACTTTTCACTCCATCGTCACAGAACTGTCCCCAGATTTCCTAGCATATGATAGTAGACTCCTTGCCAGATTGGTGGATTTCTGGTGTTATCGACAGTCATGATTTTAACAGTTTTCACACTTCAGGCAAGTAAAAGTTGTCTAGGCAAGCGCTTGAGTACCCACATCCCTTGTCTTCTGGCCTTGTTATTGCTGGTAACTGAAAGTCTTTTCATAATAACTTTGATTTCTGGCGTGGTCTAAATTTTGTTTCCAGAGCAACTTTTCCCCTTTGTATAGTGATTACCAGTGACTTTGCTAGCATAGGGTGATCTGGAGTTCCTTAGTCCTTTGCTACCCATGTTTTGTTTATTCTCTACTTCTTTATCTAGCAGGGGAGAGTTCTGGAGATTTGTCATATCCCCAGTGTTCCCTTGTTCTTAGAGTAGCCAGGAAGAAGAAAAAGTAAGTGCAGTAGCTGGGGCTTTCTTTCCATACTGTGCTAGCAATGTATTTGTTTCACTGAGTGGACCTTTCTCCTCCAATGTTGGGGATTTTCAGCATGTTCCCCATGTTGCAGAGAGCATGCAAGTTAGATTGATGTGGTCCACTGACAGAGAAGTCCATTCTAGCCTGAGAGCACTACCACTGTATGATTGCACACGGAATATGCTCCTCCAGTTCTCTTTCTGGTAGGGCTGGTTAAGGACTGCTGCATGTTTCTGTGGGTGATGTGGTGGTCTTATTCTGCCTGTCCAGTTCCACCTTTCTGGCTGTGACTACCGCTTTGCAGCAAAGCAAACAGAGTCAAGGTATATCCCATATCAAGGACTCAAAGCAGTCTGATTTTTCAGTATAAGAGATTATACTCTTTTGTGTCAATGCTGTTTCATTTTTTTGAAATATGTAATAGCTTTGTGAGTTAAATATGATCTTTGACCACCCGATAAAGCTTAAAATTGCAAAGTCATTATTTCTGCCAGACTTTTGAAGTGGTAGCATCCAGGGTTCACCTGGCCTCATACATGACCCTGCAGACCTTACTCAATACTGCAAATACTGCTTTGGATTTTTTGTTTTAAACATTTTTTCCTGGCATCCTTTTTACTTTGCAAGGTCTGATTACACACATCTGTGTTATGCAGAAGAATCTTCACTCCTCACCCACCCCCTCCCTCCACTGAATGACCGAATCTAGGTATGAGTTAACAAGTGGATTGTGGACTGAATGCAGAGAGAGATATTTTTATTTTTAATTTGTTTAAAATACAGTGTATAGGTTATCCATCCAATGGATGCAGATATGCCAGAGCTGGCTTTGCAGTTTTGGTTCAGTGATCCTATCCTTTCTATTAGTTAGGTTCTACTAGCTGCTGTGTAAACATGCATACACTTTCCGGGGGTATTTCAGTAAGGCAGAGCTAATAAGTCCTGAGTTATTTCCATACAGGTCTGTTTGAGTGCTGTTGCCCTGCTTTGTGGAGGGCTTTGCGTTGAAGTACAATGGTGATTCCCAGGGTTTGGGCTGCAGCATGCCTAAACTAACACAGCTTCCAGGCTGGGAGTGGTGAAGTGCCCAGGAGCTTCCCGGGTGCTGTGGGGCTGGTATGGAAGCAGAGAGGGAGTCTTGACGGACCAGAACTGACCTGTGCATTGTGCATCACCCATTCCATATGTTCCACAATACTCGCACTGTCAATATTTAGCATCTGAGTTACTGAAATCTCAGGCTATTCTGAGAGCTGGAGAGCTGATGGTGTAGTTGTATGATAGGGCTGTGCAGGAAAAGAGTCCATAATCCTACAGCAACTGACTGTCTCTAAAAGATCTCAATTTTTAAAAGCTCTGAAGAGTAATTGTTGGACCACATGGATTTCAGAGTACAAGTATCTTTACAAATTTTAATTTGGGGAAAGAAAAGAAGAGATATGAAAAATAATTATTCCTGGTAAGCAAAATAATTTGATTGCATCTTTTTTATTTTCTTGAGCAATAAGAGTGAATATAAGATGCCATACTTACTATTTCACTATAAAAAATTAACAATAAATAGTCTTCACAAACAATAAATAAAATTTGAATGTCTGTTTTTAATTATATAGACTGTAACCATGGTTAAATTACTCAACAGGGATTAAATAGCAGGAATAGCCTGCCAACACCACAGCTGAGACGATCTTCAGGAGTGTCTGGCATTCCACCTGTAGAATCAACATCTTCTAGATGGGAACGGAGTAACAGCAAGAGATCTCATCAGGAATATAACACATCAAGGTAAGCACTGAACCACATTTTAAGTGTAATAATAAATGTAGCCTTTCTAAAATGTTCATGTCTGTAATTTTGGAACTTGGCAGCAGAAGTATTTAATGTAAAATCTTGTGAATTAAGTCCCCAAATTCTGCCAGTATAAACTGGAAAATGTTTCAAGTTAATTATATACTATACTTTGTAACTCTGTGTGATCTCAAGTAGAAATCAGGTCATTCTGAGGTTGAATGGCATGCTCTGTCATAATAAGTAGGCCTGCATATCAGTTGTAGTAGGAAATGAAAAAAAAAAAAAAAAGTCCAACATACATGATTGCAAAACAAACTAGTTTAACCTCTAAACCTTTACTGACTTCCTCCTTCTCCTTATTACTTAAAATATATATCACTTTCCAACTTCCACATACCCCAAAATTTGTTTTCTAATTAAAAAGATTATATAACTTTCTTGCATTTGATAGCCACTGTTGTGTGTATTGCAACATTTATTATCCCTATGGTCATCAAGTAATCAGTAAGGTAGATTAAGGAAGTCATCTCTTTACCTGTTAGTCAATATGGAGCAAATGAAGCTTTTATTTCCAGAATTAAGATTACATTTTGAATTAGGATTAAAATAAATGTACTTTTTTTTCTTTTTGTTTAACATTGTATATGAGTGAAACTTCACACATGTACTTTTATTTAAATGTGTAGAAGTGTATGGCTTTGCTCAATAACTTGTAAGAAAAGTACAACAGATGTTTGAAATTGTGTTGCAGCTTCAATCCCTAAAAATGTGTGTGGTTTTGCGCCTTTTTTTTTTTTTTTTTAATAGTTGGTATCTCTTAAGATTTTAATGGTTTTCTATAGGTCATAGGGAAAGTATGATAGATGCATTCTTTTTAAAGAAAACATGAGTTATGCTTATAACTGATAATTACTAGTGGTGGATGAAAGTTTATATACACATATCCAAGAATTTATTTATCAATATTATATTTAATTTTAAAGTGAACCATTTAAATAATTTGATTTTCCCCTCGAATAAAATATGCTCTTCAAGTTTTTGCATAGCAAAACTTAATTGTGGTTTGCGTATAAAATATAATTGAAGATGCTAGTAGTGGCAGTAGTAATAGTTTAAAGATTGTATTTTCATGCTGATTTGGTTATCAGCGTTTGAAAGAATCTCCCCAGTTATATCCACCAGCAATAACCAAAGACCAGAGAACTTGCTTTAAACTTACAAATCGTGGGACCTAAGTTTGAAGCTCAGCACTTCTGGTGCAGACACAGTGTACATTTACAGAGGGTTTCCTTACAGCTCCTACCAACCAAAGAACCTACTGAAGCTCACCCAATTAAAAGCAGCAATACAGAAAATGCTTTTGCTCATACTCCATCACTTTTAAATTATCTCTTGACCCTGATGACTAGCACTCCTAGTTAGTCATGTTCCCCTGCCCTGCTCCTGTCCACCCCCATACAGCCCTAGAATATGTGTTCACTTTTTTGTGGTTTGTGTCCTGGCCTTCAGAGTTCTTGCCAACACTTACACTGTCCCTGTCTCCTTACATCTTCCAGTGATCGTTCTTATCAGGTTCCCTTTAACTTCTAACACATAATCATCTCAAAATCCCCCACGGGTGCTTACCTTACAGATAAGGTTAGATGACGTAGCTGAACTGGCATAGCTGTTCCTGCTGCCAAAAGAGGCAGTCCTGCATTCCTAGAGTACTTTGTGCCATTGGCTCTGGCTCTTGAGTCAGCCCCTTAACTTGTCAGAAAAATAACAGCAATAAAAAAAGACAGTTTTTCCTGCCTTGGGGAGCTGATTCAGCCCAATGAAAGACCCAGTGAATGTTAGAAGAGAAGAAGGAGGAGCAGGCTAATAGTAAAAAAGGAGAGTGAAACAGCAAACTGTTTGCTAGGAGGAAAGCTTATCAAAAATCAAAATATTATTTTACATACAATGACTGCTTTCAACTGGATTCTATCTGAGTTGAGAAAGATAAGATATTACATAGTGGTGTAATAAATTAATATTGCTACAAAATTTGATTTAATGTTCCAGAATTTTTTTCTATCCGTCCAGACAGTGTTCAAAAGCAACTCTTGAGAGCTGCTGTTCTATTTGCATGCAAATTCTTGATTTGGTTTTTCAGACAAACACGAGTTCAAGATGAACTGACTTTGCTTAATATATAGTCTTCCTACACTAAATACTGTTGCAGCGTTTGTCTGTGCTTTAAAAGAATACATGTAAGCTATGATAGCTGAACAGTGTACAAATAGTGAAAAGTTCAATCTATCCTAGTTGTCAACCCAAACATTTTTTAAAGTTGATTAACATGTCAGCATCAGACTTCACAAGAATAAATCTGTGTTTATTCTTTAACTCATTTTTTATATTTATATATTTAAACAAATTATGGGAGATCAAGTATTATTTCTGTATTTGACATTTGGTTGAAATCTGATTAAACAAGATTAAATCTGTTTTGGTAAATACTGTTTTCCCATACTGAAATGAAATAGTTTTACATAAAATATTTTTACTTTAAAGTACATGTATACAGTTATTTCTAATCACATATAGCATTTTTGTTTACTAAAGGAAATACGTAATTGGAATTTTGGCATGCAGTTTCATACCTAGAACAGCAGATGGCATAACTCAACAATCGAGTTTAATGATTTAGCTACTGCAGTACAATATGACTTTGTCAAAAACAGCTTTAGTTTTAAGATGATAATAAATAAAATTATTAATTAAATATGCAAAAATTGATTTGAAAAGCAAGCCATGGCTGCGTAAGATTGTCATGGTATTTCCAAAGTAGCCAATCTTTTAAATGTTCGCAGATCTGTTACAAAACAGCCTGCTTTGTTAAAACCTTAAAGAAAAGTAAATAACATGTTAGAAAGTAAAACCTATGGCATGTGGCCTGAATATGCTTATTGTGTCATTTTAGGACTACATAAAGTTTTCTGTTGCTTTCATGTAGTACCCAGCATTTTTTATTCCGTATAATTGACACATAGTGTCCACCTGATCTTGAATTAGACTTCTTTCTAGTACTCTCTTTTTCTTCAATGGTAGTGGACCTGTAGCAGATCAGTTTGGCCATTTTATAAGCATTTTATTTAATAAAAATGGAAGACAAGGTAGGAAAGAAAAAAAATTCTTACTGTTTTATTTTCAGCCAAGGATCTCATTCAAATGGGTCTTTTGGTGCAAACTTGCTGACAATACCAAAACAAAGATCATCTTCTATGACATTGACTCATCATATAGGTCCCAGACGAGCAGGTAAGATCGTGCAATTTGTATAGCTTAGTGGCAGGATGTCAAGGTAGTAGTTAGTACATCAATTGGTTTTTTTCATGTAAATATAGTACTAAAATAATATCAGCATGTTGCATATATTTAAATTTTTTTTTTTAATCTGCTTCTAAGAATACTCAAAATTACAGTTAACATCAACTTTGTAGAAATCTCAACTATTTACCTAATGCTATGTAGCTGCAAAATGTTATAATGTTCAGTATGGCTGGTACCTGTTGAAAATTGCAACATTCATATACATTAATAAGGGACTTTTTTTTTTTAGTAATTATGCTTTTTGTAATGGAACAGTGTCACTTAGAAATTCCTAAATACCTGATAGCCATCTGAGATGAATATTTAAACAAATTTTGGAGGGAGTTGGAGTAGATTTTATTCTAACACTGTCAGTGTAATAAGCTAGTAGATACTGTAACAGCAGTGCTGAAATACTGTGTATATCAGTATTTCAGAGATTATAACTGGTCTGTTTGCCCATATTAAGTGAAAACTTGAAAACTACTTCTTTTGAAATTTCTGTCTATTCATTTTAGCATGATTTAAAAGTAACAACCTGTCTAATAATTTTGTTTTAGAAAAGGTTAAATATGTAGGTGGGATTGAGAGAGATGAATGCACTTTTTAATTTATTTAAAAAAAAAACAACAAACCAAAACAAACTCACCAGTTCTCTCTGTATTGCTGATGGCTTGATTGTTTCTCTTTCACTCTTCTAAACACAAGGAACATGCAAACTCAGGCCAGATTTGCATGTAAACACATTGTTGCACATTCTCAATGGTTCTGTCTTCATAAAAAGCTGGGCTGCCTTCTGCACTTTTCTACTTTGAATCTTGCAGAAAATACAGAGTGCAATGATATACATTAAAACTTGTTGAATGTGTATGTGTAAAAAGGATGAAATTAAGTAACCAACGTTAGAGTATTCATTTGTTTTAGTTCTAGAGGGGAGTTTACAAATTGCTTCTCAACTTTCCAGATCTTTCCTTGCAGCAGTGAAGTGACATTTGCTTTCTAAAACTTCTATCTCTGCACCTAGCAATGTGGACTTTCGGGCACTGTACAGTCATAAAACTTATGGTGGAGTTTTTGCTTCATAGTTTGCAGCAGAATAAGTGATTCAGCTTTTGGAAAGTCCACAGAATACCTCATTATTTTGCTCTTGGGCACTTTATTCTTTTGATAAAAATATGTTTACAATGGCTATAACTTACTTCAGGCACTTGTAGAAAACCTGCCTTTTGTATATTTTCACAAAAGAAATAAATGATACTTTGGCTTAATGCAAAATTTTGTTGTAAACTCAGGTTAGGCACAGAGTAGCCAAAGTCTGGATTTCCCAGCTTGCTTTCCTAGATTTCACAGACAGAAACCTGAAGTAAACCCTAGCTTACTGTTGGAACAGGAATGGGGAACTTCATGGACCTAAGGAAGATCGAGTTTTGTTGTCTGTTTGTTTTTTATCTCTAATTACCTATGAGCAGACTTTAGATTCCCCCACCCCCCACCCCAATGGCTTATTAGGCAGATTTAGATAGATTATCATGCCAATTAAAAAAAGGTACATCACTGTCAAAAAAGGCCAGTATTTGCCCACTTCAATCCCTCACTTCAAAAAAATGATTACAACATTTTGGTTTTTTACTTTGTTTTTAAAAATGTCTCAAGCATATTTTTTCTTTATTGCAAAACAATTAGGTAAAACATTTTTATCTAGGTCAGTTACCAATGCTGAATTGTTTTTGATGATTTTTTTTTCTGGAAAATTTAAAAAGGAATTCTGAATCAGAAAAGAATATGAAAAGTTTCAGCTACTGTTTAAATTTTGCCAAAGCTAAAAACCAAACCAAACCTTTGAAAGCCAGATGTTATAACACATTACATAGTTTGCCCATTCAGATGTGTAGCCTAGACTGCTGCAGAGTTGTAGATCTCAAAACCTGGAATAGATCTAACTACTTTATATGTGTTTAACAATGTGAACTATACACCGTGTTTTGAAAACTTGCACATTCTTTACAATTTATAAAGGTTCTTGTAGTTTAATTTCAGTCTTTCTAAATAGTAATGGTTTTATTGTAATCTGAACCCCATGTAATGTTTGTTTTGGAAGGTGCTTCTCCTGGCCTGAGTCCTGTGGGTTCACCTAGTCATGGATCTGTCTCCAGTGGGGCTTTCAGCAGCTGGTCACCTGTAGAATTTCCTGATACTGCTGATTTTCTTACAAAACCAAGCATTAATATACATAAGCCTCCAGGATACACATTTAGTTCTCCAGATTTTCAGCAGCAAGTTAAAACATCTGTAGGTTATATGTGTAGCAGGTACTGTAAACTCTGTTACGTTTTTAGTATGTGCTGAATATGCGTTGAAAAGAATATAAATAAAATGAACAAATATAACAAGACCTGTACATCTACTAGTATTGAAAAAAAGGCATAGGATGTCATAATAATCTGTAACTATATTATCCAGGAGAGGCTAAAGAATGCTGTATGTATGCCATTGATCTGAAATGGCTCATCCTTGAAAGCAGCAGTTATTGTAGAGTAATGATATTTTACAGATTTTTAGAAAAGGAGGACTTCCTACCCGGGAATTGAATTCTGTATTTCTGAATAGTTTCTAAATAATTAGCTCTACTTTATTAATTCATAGAGGTGAGTTCAGGGGAGATGATGGTTGATTATTTTCTAAGTACGGACTAAATCTCTGTATGCCAAATTTAGGAGAAAATACTAAGGTCCTTGGTGGAGGAACCTTCAAAAGCATGCCTTTTTAAGAAAAGTAATTTGCAGATATTTTTCAGTACAACACAGCAGTAGCAAAAGAAGAAAATTACTTAATGTTGTAAATATTTTTCATGTATTCTGTAAGCTGTGGACATCAGATACCCAAGCCTGTTCCAACACCAGAACCAGAATTTGCAGAATATAAAGACAGAAAATCAGGTGGGATTTCAAATAGATTAATATTTGATATAAACATCCTTTTTTTTAAAGCCAATTAAATTAAAATTTTTATATTTTTACATGAAATTTTTCCTATACTTTAAGTAACTCATATTCATATATTTTATTTTAGCTTGTGACTTAGGATAATCAAGATAAACTAAAATATTGCCTGCCTCAGAGTAAGGATTTTATAATAGGCTTCCACTGATAGCTTTATAGTTCTGTACTCCATATATCAAACAAGTTCTCTGCCATCTCAGCTAAACTAATCACTGAACCGATTTTTGCAAGTTAAAAGTTATGCTTCTAGCTTTTCTCAATCTTGAAAGAGGTTTTGTCTAATAAATTTTGTCCTTTACAACCTTTTTGTTGTTAAATTCTTAAATAAAAATGGTTTAGAAACAAGCTGTTACTTATATTTCTGTGAAGAATCTGTATGATCAGTTTGAGAATTATTAGACAGCAGTAATTTACAAATAAATTATTGATATGGTATTTACGTATGTATTTTCTTTAAGGTGAAATTGGAAGTGCTAGTGTTTCAAAAGAATCTTTCCACCATACAGAGAAGAAAAAAGATGAAAGGAAGGAAATGATCAATCAAACACAAAATAATCTGCTTGTAAGCATGTAATTGAAAAAAAACTTGCAATAACTTTTATCAATACAGTATTTCTTTATCATTTCTATCATGCTGTAAAGAGGTCTGCATTGCTAAGATTTGTAATTTCTGGAGGGAAATGTTGCATCAGTGGAATTCAAATTTTCATTTAACAATTGTGTATTTCCAACTTGCATAAATTTCACTAGCAAATGACAAGAAAGATGGTGATTGTATTAATTTTTTTGTTGACCAAAATTAATTTGTGTAGTTTTAATGTTGATAGTATGCTCCAACAGTTTGACTAGTATTTTCTCTTGGCAGTTTATGACAGATGTGGCAGTTTCAGTGAGACTTACAAATGAATGTTCATACAGTGCAATGTATTGGAAGTGCAGGGAGACAAATGGTTTAAGCTTTACTAACATTTTGGGTTTATACCTCAATTTTTTTAAAGCTTGTTTAATTAATGAACTGTTAAAGGTCAGTAAATATTTTGTTAGCCTATGCATATTTTTGCGTTGTTTTATTAACTCATCTTGTTTAAAAAGAAAGAAGAATGAAAATTTAGCACCATCTCAGAAAGCCCTGGAATCTGCTGCCCCAAAATATGAAAAGTCAAGCCCTTAACTGTGCTATTTGTACTATTGATTTATGATTATCTCATAGCCATAGTTACATCACCATTCAATAAGTTCAATAATGATTTATCATTTTCTTGGCTTTTTTTGCCAATACAACTGACAAATTAGTTTTCATTGTTATTTTAGAGATAATAAAGTATCTTACTCTCATACAGGTAGAGCAGAGTCTTACATTAGAAACAATGTTATTAGACCATGATTCACTAATGGAGAAGATGAACAATTGGAATTTCCAAATTTTTGACCTTGTACAAGAAATGGGAGATCAGTCTGGAAGGATTCTTAGCCAGGTTTGTTGTCTTTTATAATATGAGGGAGGGTGTGTAAAGCTGTTGTGCTTTATATATTTTATTTAAACTGCAAAGTTTTGCAGTCAACGTATTTATGAATGCTAACTTGAAATGTAGAAATATCATTTCTCATGTACTCCATTTCATTGTAAACCATAAAAAGTGATCGATCTATGGACAACTTGCTCCAAATTTTATCAATTTTACTCTCAATGTAAAAATAGGTTAGATTCACACTTACTAGGTTTCATAGTAATATGTCATTTCCTATGAAAAATTGTCTCCTGCTTTCAGAATTAACTACCTTGTTTGTCAACCATTTCTTTTTTCTTTATTTCAGTAAAATATTTCTGCCAGAGCTACACCTGTGGGGGAAGAGAAGTGATCTTTTAGGCAGTCTTTTGCCTCTTGATCCTACAAACAATGGGATTTTTTTTCCATGCTGCTTTCTGCCTGTAGTATCCCTTTTATCTCTTTCTGACTTATTACTAAGCTCTTTTGTGCAGTTTTATGTTGTGCTGAAGCCAATCTACTGGCAGGTGCAAAAGTATGATCCTATTTGCTCTTCCCCAGCCTCTCCCATTCATCAATGTCATCTGGAAGCTTCTGTTTCTTTCTTTATACTGGATTTAGCAATCATGGAGCTATAGTATGAGCTGGATTTGCTTCTGATCTGACCTCAAAATATTTTTATTGCCAGTACCTTAGCTTCCTACCCTGGAGTAGAATGCATGTTACTCTTGTTCACAGGTAGTGTCAGGAGCAATCAGCTGGAGGGAAGGAAACAGGTTAGAAGTACTCAGGTGCAGTTGGAACCATAGGCCTGCACCTATACTGAAGACAGGAAAAAACAATGGGGATAATTTCATTTTTGTCATTACACACTGCCTTTTCTTTCATAATACACAGTACTCTGCGTATGGTTTTAAATCTTCCATTAGTCTTGTTTGATCAAATGTTTTCAGGTCTTTTGTCACCTCAGTTAGCAACAGCTGTTAAGGTACAGACTGGAATGCCATAATCCACTTCTGAGTGGTGTTTTTACTGTAGTATACTAGTACTCTGTGATTCACATTAGCTTGCAGTTCATTTGTGTGCAGTCTAGGGGATAGTTCAAACCTGTAAGTACTTAAGTGTGCAGGTTTATACTTAACTCTACCAGAATTTCTGTATCAGTTCTTCCTGATATTGTATGTATGTGTACTACTTGTCCTTCTCCTCCTCCCACCCCAGTCATTTTGTCTGTTGTGCTGTAAGCATCTGATACATACTTAAGAGTCAATTAAAAACTGTATTTTACCATCATAAGTTGTAAGGTTCTCAGATTGGTTATGTGTAAGGGGAATGGTTGGGGTGGGTAGAAGGAGGGATGTCCCCTCATTTTGCTCTCATATTCCTTTGAGCACCTCCCACATTTTAGAATGTATTCTTTCTCACAAGTGTCTGGGAAAGAAGTGTCAAAAATGAGTAGCAGTGACTTGTTTTGGAAAGCTTTCTTAATATTTTCAGTCTTGGGTGTATTAGGTCTTTGCAGTCACTAAGCTTTACTTGTAAAACATAGTATATTTGCACAGTATATACATGTGTAGGTGTTCTGAGTACATTTTTGAAATATTTTTTCATTTACCAGCTAGCTTTGTTAAAAATAGCCAAGATAAGTCATAATGAATAAAAGAAATAGGATGTCTTCGCCAAAGTCTCAAAAATAGTATTTTTTTTATACTAATGGCTCTGCTACTATAGTTAAGTAATTTGAAATTTTGAATAACAAGTAAGAATATGGATTTCTTATTTTTAGGTAATTAATGGAATAAAGCATGAGTTCTTTAACATTATGAAAATTTTGGAGAATATTATTAAAAAAATCAGTTGTGCATAGAATTTATCAGTAAAGAAATAAAAGCTTTTATTATTCTGTATTTTAGAGGATGGTAAAAATCCACATTTTTGTGCTAAAAAAAATCATTAAACATATCTCTCTGACCATAGCTTTCAGATAATCTTTAATGGAATTTCAGTAACTTCCATCTCCATCAGCAAGCAAAATTTTAAAAACAGGAATATTTTTAAAGTTGAAAAAGAATATGCTTACGTATACTAAAATTCATTTTAATATGTACTTAGGTAACTTATACCTTGTTTCAAGACACTGGTTTGTTTGAAATTTTTAAAATCCCAACTCAAGAATTCATGAATTACTTCTGTGCACTAGAAAATGGCTACCGAGATATTCCCTGTAAGTACTATCCAATTACATAAGTTTTTATTTTGTATTAGTGTATCTCCTTTAGTGTTTGTATTAGTTTAATGTTTAATACAGAGGTAGACAATGTCTGAACTTAGTATATTTTTAATGAATACATTTGTCAGAATTTAGAACTGATTTAATGAATTGCAGCTAAAAATTGGTGGACTCCAAAACTGAATCTGTTAATATGTAGGTTGAATATAATCTTAAAGAATTTGAATGAGTAATTGAGTCAAACATACTGAAGTCAATGGAAGAATATTTGCTGATTTAACAAAAATTTGGTTTAGGCCTGTAATAGAATAATAAGAAACTATAGAATTTTGACAGTAATTATTCATCTTGCTGTTTAGGGCAGACAAATTTATTGGAAAACAAAAGAAAACAAAAAAATTACCCCTGTGTCATCCCCACCCTTCTTCCCACCTATCCTGTGTCACAGATGTTTGAACCAACCCAGGTGCTTGTAGGTATCGGATTGGAAGCAAGGCTAGTGCCTCACCATTGCTGATTTAAAAGGCTATTTAATCCCTTCCTGACTCTCAGCTAGGATGAAGTATGCTTAGAGGATGTTTGTTCCTTTTGATTATATTTCAGATAATATTTTAAATTATATTTTGATAATTTTCAGATCACAATCGTATACATGCCACAGATGTTCTTCATGCAGTATGGTATCTGACAACACGGCCCATTCCTGGATTTCAGCAAATTCATAACGAGCATATAATGGAAAGTGATATGGGTATGGATTCACACAGGTTATTTTTTACTTTTGCTGTAAGAAAGTTTTAATGAAACTATATTAGGTAAAACAAATTACTCTGGAAGAAAATATCTAATTATTCTTATCACTCAAATATTTTTTTTGTATTTTAATATAAGCCAGTAGGAATACCACAATGTTAGTACACGCCATTAAGAAATATGCAGTAGATTTTTAGAAAAATTATTAGATTAATAGTGTTTAGTTTGTTAGCCAAGAATACAGGTTCACTTAATAAATTTTCTATGCTGAATGAAACCTCTGTATACTGCTACAGTCAACGTATTTTTAGCATTTGAAATACATTAGACTAATATTTCTTAACTTTATTGGGAAATTAAATAGAACAAAAAAAAAAAACCCCAAAGTCAAAGTATTTAACTTAATTGAAGTTCTCCTTAATGGTTTTAGTGTAAAGATTAGTATTTCAGGATTTTGTATTAGATATCACATGCAGACATTCAGGCACTGAAGTGACTACCCTAACAATAACTGCATAAGAGCATCCCTGGAAGAGAAATAAAGACTTCAAATTCAAATTTTGTATGACATTAGTTCTAATGAAGCTTGGTTTTGTGTTGTCTGCAACTTAATGGAATTAACTTCTAAATTTGTAGTTTTAACTAAAATATATGCTGTAAGTAAAGTATAATTTTTCTAAATATAAACCTTTATACTAAAATATATGTATTTAAGAAAAATAAAATGGGGAAATCAAGCACTCTCTAAGAACTCTGTCTTAGATGTGCAGTAAAACAAGACAAGATGCAAGTTGTGGCTTTTAAAGGGCTGTAATTTTAAGAAGCAATTTGTTCTGTACAGTTCACATCATACAGTATATGTTATTTCTTCCTTACTAATTAGCCCCTCTGCTGGCACCTTTCTCTTTTACTAAGTTTGTCCACATCCACTGATTATACCCTATTGCATTTTCTTTCTCTAAGTGTTAAAAGAGTTGGGACTGGAGACTTGACTGGAGGAAAGAAAAATTATAAAAATCCTTTTGTTTCCCTTTACAGAAAAAGTAAAATTAAAATAAATTTTAGGTTTATTGCTTTGGAACTCTTCCAGTATAAAAGTTACTAGGATTTTTAATCCTTGCTTATTCTATTAAGGCAAAAGAGCCCCTTTTTATTATGCAATGATGAAATAAGTACTATTGCTTTTTTTTTTTTTTTTTTAAAGTAGTGACTTTGTCCAGGGGAAAGAGGAGAATAAAACTGTGAATCTCCTTATCATGCAAGTATTTCTAACTTAATGGTTTAGTTCCTTTTGCAGTAGTTTCCACTGTCCCCTGAGCTTTTCCTATAGGCCTGCAAGTCCAAGAAATGGGCCACGTATAGAATTACTAAGGGAGATGCTGATTGATCCTTTCTTGGCCTTATTGAGGTTGGAGAGAAACTGTAGAATGCTCTTTTAGTACTGTCATTTTAAGAAGGGAATGAAATTCCAGGTCTGCATAACACCAGGAGGTCTTTAGCAGCATGACAGTAAGGGGAAGGCATAAGAAGTGACAGAGGCCTTAACAGTAATGTGTAACCATTGGTTTCCATGTGGATTTTCCAAGATCTGTAGTTTGGACTCTGAGATGTACATTTTTGCTAGTTTTTCTCCTCTTCATTCCCTCCCATGGAACAAATACCTAAAAGTGCATTTTAAGAATTAAAAGCTTAGATTGTTATGGTTGCTTTCTAATCTAAATGGCAACTCTACTGCAATCAAGAGACATAGACTAGATGGCCGGTGTCCCTTGTTCCCCTAGATTGCCTTCTGTGCTTGCTGAAACATTCCTCTGAACAGCCTTCTGCAGCAAAAGTGAACTGTAGCTGCAAAGAGGTGACTTCCTCTGTTTTATGTCTTCTAAGGCACCATACAGTTTCAAGGACCAAAGCAAATCTTTTATTCCTTCCTCCCCTCTTCTGATGAGGGCAGCAAGTGTGGATATCTGCCCCATACATACTGCCAAAAGCGTAAAGTCTACATTTCTTTTTCTAAAATTGCATGGCAAGAGTGAGCTCTGATTGTGGTGAATTAAAAATACTTCTTTTTCTTGATTATGACTGTTCAAAGTTCTGAAAGTCTCCTTTATTTGTGTGAATGATAGTTACCCGTCAGCATTATAATGGGAAATCTTGTCTGAAAAAATGGATCCTGAGGTATATCTGCATGTAGTACTAGGGAAAGGATTGGTTTTAGAACAGGAACATTCAGCTTTCCAGTTTTGGCACACTTCTTGCAGGATCCACAATGTCCTGTAGGATTTTGCCCTCCTTGTGTAATGTCATGAAACAGCTGAAACTTTTTATGTATTTGTAAGACTACATGTACCCTTCTGGACAACCTGTGTGGCCATGATGAATTTACGACTTACTGGCATTTCAACTTTTCTTCAAAATTGCTGGTTTATCTATAAACAAGAGTATGACTTTTTTTAAAAAGTATAAGTCTTTCTTTGCCAATTATTCAGCTCCACAATTACAAGGATAATTATGTTAAGATTATTTTCACAATAGTATATGGCCGAGTTATTTAAAATGTATTAAAAATATGAATGAAATAATGTTCTGAAAAAATATTTTATGTTTGTATTTTCAATTTTCTTAGATGAAGCCAGTCGTATTGCCCCTGTTAGAGTCAGCTATATTTCTTCAAAAAGTTGTTCTATTGCTGATGACAGTTATGGTTGTCTGGCATCAAACATTCCTGCTTTGGAATTGATGGCTTTATATGTAGCAGCTGCCATGCACGATTATGATCATCCTGGCCGTACAAATGCTTTTCTAGTGGCTACAAATGCACCTCAGGTAAGAAATTCTTTAACCAGAAAATTATTTGTCTGTATCTGAAATCAGAATAATGAAAAATTTTCTCTTATATATCCCTACTGTAGCCAGTTTAGGATCATTTGCCCAATTTAAGAAACAGGGAAATTAATTTATACTTAACATGTGTAATACTTTTTTTCTTTCTGATAAATTCCAATGTGTTTTGTATGTATTGGTTGTGTATGTGTGTAAAAATAATTTTCAATTTACAAAATTGAAAATAATAACATAAATCAATGCAGGTAAGAGTAAAAGATTATTTCATACAGAGCTGGCCCTAGGACTGTCTAAGCAGCTAATTCATGGATATCTTACATTTTGGGAGACCTCTGAAATCATAGTGGTATCAGCAATTACCATAAAAACACATGTTTCTCTAATAGTCCAATTAACTGCATCAACTAGTCTTTGTATTTCTGATTAGTCCTGTATGGTAAATAGCCATTACCTTTAAGGGAGTATGAGTAAAATAAGAAGAAATTGGTAAGGCATCCTTGCTTTTATGTCCCATATTCAACTTTGTTGTTAGAACAGAGAGTAGAAAGAAAGGAGATGCTATGCTCTTCAGGGTCTAAAAGGCTAAGACAAAATAGGTAAAGGAGAATAAAGCTAAACAAAATAGCAGATAGAAAAAAAAAAAAAGGTGGGGCAGGGAAGAATTGGAAGGAAAAGCACGGAAGAAAAGATGCCTAAACTGCACAGTGAAATAGTTTTATCTGAAGAGTGGAATATTATCTGGGGAAGAATATTTATGATGGCTATTTGGATCGCTCTTAATAAGTTAGAGACAAGAAACTTAAATAATAACAACAACAACATCAACAACAACAATAATAATAGTAAGTCAGAAACCAATACAGCTTGTCAGGAGATGGATACTTTAAAAGTGAACTTTCCAGTCTTCAACAATTCCTTGTTGCAAAAAAAGTTTAGGATGTAGGCAGTTACGTATTTCTGCTGAAAGCAGTATACAAGGAAGAATAAAAACAACACCACAGACATTCATCTCCAATTTTCAAAAATACACATGTTCATTTTGTTAATGATCTTTTCCTTTCCTCAAAACATAAAGATTATTTTTGTAGTTTTTCAAATAATTTTTTCAGGTCCTATTTATTCTATATTCAATTATTTTCTAGGATCTTTTGTATAAACACGGAAGTTGTGAGTAAAATCTACTACTGTTTTAATATTTTAATTAACTCATTTGCAGTTAAAATGTATTCATCAGCATTAAACGTAGCACATTGAAAACTAGTGATAGTCCACACCATTTTGCGTTAACCACAGTTCTCATATGCTTTGGAGTTCTTTTCGTGTTTTTTTTAAACAATACTGGAATTAAAAGCATATACAGAGATCTGGGGTGTGGTTTGGTTGGTTTGTTTGGGTTTTTTATGTCAGTGCGTGTGCTCCACACATACTTGCCAAGGGTCTGAAGTCTACGTTTTAAGTGGTTTGTGTATGTGTGCCTACAGTGTGAATGTAGATGTCAGTAAGACATCATTAAGGACTTTCAAGGAAAGAAAAAGCTTTGCTAATTGTTTGGGGTTTTTTTTCTCATCTGCCATTTTTGTTTCACTTTAACCTTCGAAACTAGAAGGCAAAACATCATTTCCAATGGTTGGGGTTTTTTTGGTTTTGTTTGTTTTGTTTTTTTTTTAATTAAGTCTTGTTTCTGACTAGCCCTTAAGCTTCAGAATATTTAATTATAATTTTAAATCTTTGCTCTGACATTTATGATTCTCTCTCTCTCTCTTTTTTTTTTTTTGTAGGCTGTTCTCTACAATGACAGATCAGTCTTAGAAAATCACCATGCTGCTTCTGCCTGGAATCTTTTCTTATCACAACCAGAATACAACTTTTTATCAAATCTTGATCATGTAGAATTCAAGCGTTTTCGTTTCTTAGTGATTGAAGCAATCCTTGCCACAGATCTCAAGAAGCATTTTGATTTCCTTGCAGAATTTAATGCCAAGGTTTGTTACGTTTCTGCACTGAGCTTGTCTTGATATACTGATGTTAATGTTGCTACTCAGTAGTTGTTAGTATTAATAACTTGCATCTAAAGTTTTATGTTATTTAAATTTAGGTTACAAAAAAAAGCACATAGAGTGTTTCCTTTGTACAAACCAATTGTAGATTGTTTTGTAGATTGCCTAATAAGCCTAGCAGATGTTACTCAGGGACCCACATGAGAACACGATCATATCTCACATATCCATCTTCTGAGAGATAGTAAATGACTTTTTTTTACTATATAAAACAAAAAAAGATGTAGAAAAATTAATGCAAGTCTGTTGTGAAAAGCCTGAAAAAAACCAACCCCATTGATGAGTTTTAACTTAATTTTTAAAAATGTACATGCTCAATCCAGGTCAATGATATCAACAATCATGGTATAGAATGGAGCAATGAAAATGATCGCCTACTGGCCTGTCAAATATGCATCAAACTGGCAGATATTAATGGCCCAGCAAAAGTTAGAGAGCTGCATCTGAAATGGACAGAAGGCATTGTTAATGAATTTTATGAACAGGTGGGTACAGAAAGTGTAATTTACTCTTTTTTTTTAATGACAGGCAGATGATCAGTTCTTTGCATTAGCAAATGTATAACTAAATTAAACATTATTCCTTGTGTTAAATCTTCAAGTAAGGTATTTCCATCTTCTCTTTCTGAATACTGAAAATTTATTTTCATAGGTAGGATACTAACATAATTTCTTACTTTTTATCAATTGTGTTAGAAGCTTGAAAACAAGCTCCCTGCCAATGTTGTCCATTTTTCAGATATTAGTTTATTTTCTTTTGGTTTTTTTTCCATAGGATGAAGCTGATTAAACCAAAATAACTTCTTCCACTTTGGGAAGTTAAGTTCACTGGTATGTTTCCAGGTCAAAGAATATGTATAGAATCCACAAGACTGGAAATGTATATTCAGCTAACTCTTAGAGCAAAGACAGAAGATATTTTAAAACTTTCAAAATTAAATATTAAAAATACACAGTAGTAACTAACAGTATTAAAATGGAAATAAGATTTTTACAGTGGAACCTTGATAAATAATCCTATCAAGAGTAACTGGAAAAAAGCCTGAAAATTTGTGGCCTATGTTTACATTTACAACTTCTGGAAGACCCCAAAATATATTCTACATTTCTACTCTGTTATTTTTCTGTAGTCAGCCTTCTGAGGAGTTAACTATTTATGAGGCAACAACCAAGGATTGAAAAATACTTTTCAAGCTAGGAAGATAAAAGTAAACAACAAAATCACTTGGGAGATTTAAGCAATAGCAATAATAATCTGAAGTGCTTACACTTACTGTAAGACCTTAGTATTCTAAGTTGCTGCTTTAGGAAAAACTTTTTTGTAAAACTATCAGGTCCACAGAAGTGCTGAGACAAGTGATTATAACTCAGAGTTCTGTAGGAGCAACTGTTCAATTTTTTCTTCTCCAATTTATAAAATGGGAAAAAAACCCAAACCACTTTGTTCTGGATGTTATAGTTCATTTCATTTTTCTATGACTTTGGGGTGAAGCCGTTTACCAAAATGCCTTAGTCTAGCTGATTACTTTCCCATTATCTCTGTTCATCAGCTCAGCATTTGAAGTCAAAACTCTGCCTACCCTGAAGCCTGTAAAGGCCTGCCTGTAAAGGCCAAGGAATAGCAGCTACAGTAGAACTAGGTCTGCATCCATGCACAAGGGTATCTCGCAGCAAAGCTGAAGGGAGGATTATGGGCTATGCAAGTCTGAGCTATAATGTGTCTTTATTTTAAATTGGCCTAATTACATTTTCATTCACTTAGTCTATACTATTATTGCCTCTAGTAAAAAGATACAACGCATGTGATGTTTACTTGGTTCCTTAAAAGTAATCTTTAAAATAAAAAATTAAACTTAATTTTGTGAGTTCTGATTTTTTTTTTTTTTTTAATTTCTTTTTCAGGGTGATGAAGAAGCAAGTCTTGGATTACCTATAAGCCCTTTCATGGATCGTTCTTCTCCACAGCTTGCAAAACTGCAAGAATCTTTCATCACTCACATAGTTGGCCCCCTTTGTAATTCTTATAATGCAGCTGGGTTGCTTCCAGGGCAATGGGTTGATGAAGAGGAGGAGGATGCAGAAAGTACTGAAGATGATGATGGAGCACAATTAGAGAGTGATGATGATGAAATGGAAGATGATCTTATTTTAAGTAAGTTTCTGTATTTCAGTCAGCACATATGGTTGTCATTTAATAGATTCAGACATAGCAATGAGGGTTGAAATTGTATAGTACGAATATTGTAGATTTTGCGATTATGCTACTTCATAAATTTTACTCTTTTAATAAAATTTTTGTTAATACCAGAAGACTTGCAATTTGAAACAGAAACTCATTGTTATCCTTTGCCATGTCAGTATTCAAATATTCTGAATAAGCGTCCATGGTTTTTGCTCAAATTTGCATCTCTCTTACAACGTGCCATTGGTTTTGTATGTGTAAAATACAATTACTTTGAATCTCAAACAATCAAATGTGCTTATAATTTTACAGAAGCTCAAAGAAAAAAAGGTAGACGAGTATTTTGCCAGCTAATACACCATCTCAGTGAAAATCACAAAATATGGAAGAAAATGATTGAAGAGGAGGAAAAAAATAAAGCTGAAGGAGCTAAACTGCTGACTGAGATCTCATCTTTACCTCAGGCGGATGAAATTCAGGTTATCGAGGAAGCTGATGAAGAAGATGAGCGACAACTAGGAGAAGACAAGACATGCTAAGAAAACCTCAGTGGTGTCCAATATGATGATAGCCTATTTTTTTTTTCCACTGTGCTGACTTTAGCCTGACACAGTTCACATAAAATTGAAAGGCCTTAATACTGTGAGAGGATTCTTTCTACTCTAGTGGAATCCCACTCCTATGCACTTTTGCCACACAAAATATGAAACTTTATTGAAATATTGAGTATTATATACCCTGATGCAAAGTTCTTTATGCCTTAGTTGGTATAAAATATCCTGATATAATGCTGCCTTGCTGAATATGGAACTCTTATTTTCCTTGAGGTACCTGAAATTTTTAAAAACATTCAGTGACTTCAATTACCAAAGTGGCAAGAACTTTATGCTAACAAGGAAAGGTGGGATGGATCCTAATATTGTCTTGAGTTGTTTATTTCATGTTGTTTTGAACATGAATGAGAAAAAGTCTGTGCCTATATGAAAACTATGTTACTGTTGCAGTGCAAGCCTGTTGTGGGGTGTCTACTTAGTGCAGTAGTGGGCTTAATGTAGTCATCTCAGAGCAACTATTCAAGGACTGTGACATAAATGCTGAATTCTGATATTTGTGGTTTAAAAAAGAAAACAATCCAGGTGCATCTATTTCTGATGCTTTTTTATTATTATGCATAATCTGATGTTTTATTTTTGCAGAAAATATTCAGGTTTGCAGTGGGTGTTCATGATAATTCATTGAATACAGGGCCATTATCATCTGTTGCCTTGCTGTTTTGTGGTAGAACATTAAAAACATGTTCAGCTACTTAAATTATTAATGGATTTTATTCTTTTAGTCATAATGCTATATTTCCTGCCCTTACTCAGGTTCCTGTTTAAAAACAAGTCAACCACATCATAGATTTTTATCTTGCACCAATTTCCAGTATTAAATTTGAAGAAAATATGATCGTATTTCATTTATTCTTTGTATGTAAAACTTTAGGAGAATTAAAGATTTTTTTTTTTTTAATAGACATAAACTACTGTTTCAAAATGGCTGGTGTATTTTTATGTGCCTCACGTCTTTTTTCCGCCATCACAAACATAGCTTATGTTGCCTTCAAGTTTGATGTACATCCTGAAATATATATATGGAAAGCAGAATGTGAAAACTTTGTGTAAAGCCTAATAATAAGATAAACATCACTGTACTATATTCCATTTTAGATTGTTGAGTTTTTAAATAAGAAACTTAGACATTCCACACAAATGTATTTTTAGGAACACTACCATTGTAGGTCTAATTTAAAAAAAAAAAATAAAAAAAATTAGGCTACAAGTATGTAAGCAAGCCACAAATAAAGCTAGATTTAAAAGTGCACCTTTTAGTACTAAACATTTATATGCTGGGCAGTTGAATTGAATAAAAACAAATGCACACATGTGGAAGTTGCTAAATGTATCTTACCATATTTGGGTTTACATTTACATCAGTTGACTTGAAAAAAAAGGTAACATTCGTAAGATAACCTTGTGTAAATTGTACTGCACTATTTTACACAAACAAATTTTTATTCTGCTCTTTGATTGGCCAGTTTAAATAACTGAAAGGATTTTTTTTTTATTTTCCACTAATAAGCTTTTTGTTGATTCATTTAGAAGACCACTGAAATGTGCTTTTGCTATTTTATATGTTCAGTGCCAAATGCCCCTTTGCTGCCATTATTACTATCACTGCATTTTTTGTAACACAAGCAGTGTTAAAAACAGATATTTCTGTCATTAATAAAATGTTGCACTACTGAAGCTGGCACTTATTGATCATTCACTTGTATTTTACATATGTTCATATATTTTCCTAACGTAATTTGAAGACTACAGAAATCATGCTCGTTTCAGTATGCTGTATGCTCAGCATTTATATGTTTAGTTTCATTTTGCTTTGACTGAAAAAAGATGCAAATGAGCTTGTCTAAATTTAATTATATTATTTTACATGACAGTTTTCCATTTAGTTGCCTGTTAAAAAATTATTATTAAAAACTAATATAAAAAAAGAATAAGAAGGTAAAAATAATACTTTATCTTTTACTAAAGCATTGGCAGCATTTATATCTGGTGACAACTTTGCCAGCAACTTCAAATCTCAGGTTTCCCTAAACTCTTTAGAAATACTGAAGCAATTTTAAAATTCAGATGTAAGTATCAAACCTCAGTGCTTAATAAACTATAATGCTGATATGTATTTCCAACTAGATATTTTCAAGTTACAGTAGCTTGTTTCAAAGATATGTTGAATTATGAATGTATTTAAAATCCCCTTTAAAATGTCTGTTATTTATATATACATAATATGTGACTAATTGTTACTCTAAGAGCAAGGGGAAAAGAATGTACAAATATCATCAAAGGTTCGTTCAGGGCATGTTTGCAGAAGTGGATGTAACTGAAGATGTCTTAATCTTTCAAATGGTAATGGAGGGTCATTTGAATGTTGATTGAGCTGTTGTCAACAGTAATATATCTCCATATAAGGTATATCACTCTTATGCTGTTAACAACCCACTGAGAAATTACAACCAATTTAAATCTGTGATCACACTTCAATTCACAGCTACCAAGGGATGCTAAGGAGCACAGAAAAGCACACAAAGAACACAATTAAAATACTTTCTAAAGCAGAACTCACCATTTTTTTTTTTTCCCCAAGTAGGCCAAATTAGCTTACATAGAATTAATGTTGCTACCAGTTGATATACCTTTTATGGATAATATTCTCAGGTTTAAGTAAAGTCTTCAGCCCCTTTCCTATCAAGAGCCTCCCATGTCCTCATTGCCTTCTTTTGCAAATGTATGTTGGATTACTTGCTCCTGTGCATACAGAACTAGAAGTTTTCTGGAAGGACCCAATTCCCTCCATGCCTCTGCAGACCTCTGGATGTTATGGTGGTGCTAAACTAATCAAAATTAACTACTTGGATCCTCTTCCCATGAGTTCTTCCTCCATGGCAAAGCTAGACGGTGTGTCTAACAGTATTCAAAATTAAAGGACTAGTGTAACATTACTTGAGGTAAGTCCAAATTAACAAAGTTTGCCCAAGACCTGATTTGCTCTGTACATAGAATCATTTCTTCTCTGTACTTCTTGCATTCAATTTTAACTACAACCGGTGGTAGGTGAATCAACAAAAGGAGTTAGCAAAATTCAAGAGCGCACTTATAGCTTTGGTGCTTTCTCCTGGGCAGGCATAGTTGAGGCTGGGCTTCTCGTTCCTCTAAAAGTATACACAGAATTTGAGGTAATCCGGTATGTGGCACTAACATTCACAGGGCAGTACCTTCCCTTTTGTCCAAAAAACATTTGAGAAGGTGTGAGAGGTGCAGAACTGGAAGTTCCTCATACGCTGGTGAGTGTGAGATCAGGAATCCCAGTCTGAGAGACATGTTTTGGAGTAAAAGAATAGAATTAGCTTAGGCGATGAGAATTAGAAAGGAGACGTAAGGAGGGCATACCCACACACATAAAAGATATATTCTTATTCAGAAGAGACACTGTTTATTGTTTCACACCAGTTCATTGTCTTCAAAAGAATATGGAAACAGGATATCTTTGGTAAGTCAGAATATTTGGATTGTTAGAAATGAAATGAAAATAGAAATGAAAATTAAAGTATACTACTACTAAGGATACAACTATCATAACTTAAATTGTGATGCAAGTTTAAGAAAATGGATTTTTCTGTGGCTAATAAAGATTAGATAAGAGAAAATAAATACACAATGTTGATTAAATGAGGTACAAAAAGTATGATCAAGGCAGTGTTTTATTTTGCCTTTTTTTCCTCCAGCTTTTCTCAGAATTGTGTTTCTGGACAACGTGCTTCTTCATGTCTGTGTTAAGGCAAATGAGGTAATGAATTGCTTTCATTTTTGCAATGAAGAATTTTCCTTTCGATATCTTCTGAAGTAAGCCTTTAACCTGCTATAAGAATCATACTGTAGATTCTCAGAGATGAAGCTGGCAAAAGGACATAACTGTTAACTGGTCCCTACCTGTTGTTAATATAATAGGGCCATAAGCAATTAGTACTTTTGTTCTCTGCTAAATGAGAAAGAATAATGACTTGTATTTCAGAGGAAAGAAAGGTCATGGACTAAGCTGCTCTAGGATAAACATTCCAGTGCACTTGAGTTTCTAGTTGGCAGTGACCCTCTTGTCATGGTGTACGTCCGCCACATCCTTATGAATCCAGCTAATAGATATATAACTCTTAACTGAGCAGTCTGTCTCCATGGTTGTTTTGTCCATTTGTTACTCTAATTTCTCTAAAACATTTCTGGCTTAGACTTGAAATACTACTTCTGGTTAGTCTCATTTCTGTTATCTGCAATACTCTAAAAAAAAAAAAAAAAAAGTAGAGTAACTAGCAATTGCTTGTTTTGTTAATAATAGCATTAAGCTATAGAAAGTGGTTCTGGTAAAGAAGAAACTGCTTTCTTTTGGTACTGAGATTGAAACATCTGTCCAGAAATTGGCTGACTTTAAATACTGCTGTTGTGATACGGTCAGGATACTGAATAATGGATGCTTAATGTATTAAGTGTTTGACACTTATTCGGTTCTGTGTGACACTACAGACCCCTTTAGAAAGGGCACAACACAATCCAAAATGTTTGACCGGAAGGTTTCTCTGGGGATCTGTACACCGTGAGTCATCTTTTGACTTCTGTACTTCAGGAGATCACAGGTGACAGCAACTAGTATCTATGATAGGTTCTACTACGCAGGCTGTATTAGCTGGCAGAATGTTACCATCTATGAAATCTAAGTAAAGAGAATAAAAATCTTATGCAGAGGAGAAACCTTCTGCCTTCTGGTTTATCTGTGAGGTTTCAGAAAAATAGAAAAGTCTAATATTAAACTAATAGAGCCTTTAAATAACAGTGAGAGAGCATAGTGTTTCAAATGATTCCTACCATTCACCTTGTGATTTGTCCATGTCCATCTTGCCAAAAAACAGGTGATGAGTCACTTCTGACTCATCTCTCCAGATCAGCAGAACCCTTTGCACCTTGAATAAGATGAAAATCTTTTCATTTTACTTGCATATAAAACAAAGACTAATGCTTAGCTTAAAATGTGTTATATCAAAAATCCAAAGGGTAAGCTTGACATTAGTTATTGCACATGGGGAGCAGATTGCAGACTTCATCACCTGTGCCAGTTAGATGTGAAAACTTGTTCCTATATGTGGTCATTCAAATGGACTTAGTATGTCCTTCTTTCTTTTCTCATGATATTCATCCTACTAGAATTTATTAATCTCTGCAGTATTGCCAATTTATCTGACTCATATTAACTAAGCTTTCTCTCAGTCAAAGAAGTGAATGAAGAAGCCCTCCTATTTATCTTTGAGAATGGGTTTGTAATAATTTTGTTCTATTCATCATAAATAAGGTATTACCAAAATATTGTTTCTGATTTCAGATGTCACACCCCAGGAAAAATATCTGTCCATTAGACAGATCGCAGAATTCCAGTACAGACCAGTGAGACTGACCATAAATATGGAAGACATGGCCTAAAGAGAAGGAGAAAGATAAAATTGGTTCAAGAGATTTTTCTGAGTCTAGAGAAAATGAGACAAGTGAGATATTCTAAG